GAAATGGCATTGAGGAGTGGCTCAATACTGGCTGGCCATATTCGGGCTGGAGTTGGAAATTGATTTCTGGCCCAAATACTTCACTCCACAACCGGCCCTCATCTGGTTTGCCAGAGTCAAGCCAGTGCCTCCTTTGCCACGCCTGGGCCGTGTTCGGCCCACATGCGTTATGCCATTGCCGACACCAGGCCAGCTGTGCCGGCTTCATGCCGAAGCCGGGCCAGATGCCTTTGCTGACTGGGAAGGTATATGTCTGAGCGCTCCTCAAAGGTTTGTCTGCATCATGTTGTCAGAACCATCAAAAATCAAATGACAGCAAAGCCCATCCGGACAAAATTCGCTGCGAAATGTAAACCTAACCAATTCACGATACTGAGATAATATACTCTGAATGGTCGAGGCAAATAGTGAGTTCGTTCTTTGAGAGGCTCTCTTTACTCCATACAGGGATCCTAGCATTAAACACACACATAACATTGCTTTAGCAACAAAATAAAGTTGTCAGTAACAGTGGCAACGTAAGATGGCTGCCCTCTTACTTAAACTGCGAGGGTCCTATTGACAGTCCATTCATATATAAATCTGTAGGTTCACCCTGGATTGGCCGCTAGCCAACCGCGGGGCACAAACAAGCACCCACACACATTTTGAGTCACTACTTAACCTAACAAGCATGTTTTGGGAATGTGGGAGGAAACCAGAGCAACTGTAGAAAACCTCCAAAAAATGCAAGAGATCCGCATTTTCTCAACTCCTTCTAATAATTAAGTGGATAAAGCACACAAGTGGTCAAATTCGAACATACTTTCATCAACCCTCAATGTAATCAACTAAATCCAGTGCATCCTGGTGTAATACATTTAGAGACATAAAATTGCTATGGTTAGATTATCATAGTCACCAAAATCTCAAACAAACGGGAAATAATTACGTTTTTGATCATAATTGCCACAACATTAATTGAGACATCATGAACCAAAAGTGTCCAATTAGCATACTAAGGCGTGACGTCTTCAAATCTTGTATTTTTCTTTCATTATAAGATAACCTAACCTTTTTAAACGTGACTTTATTTTATTTGACTGGTGACATGAACAACAGTGGCCTGACAATGCATTTATTTCGGAACCGTTTTTGTTTTGTACGTTTGGAAGGAACACTTTGTGAGTTTGTCACACTGTAGTCTCTGGCGCCCCTTTGTGGCAGTTCTACAGAAGACTTTAAAGAGTCGTTTTTCGTGTCGCGCACATTTCAGATCATTCCAGCTATACTAATTATCTGCAAGTACATTATACAAAAATAACTCGAGAGTTGAAAGATGACTGCTCTTAAACTCACCGTGACGCTCCCATTGATGTTCGTGATATTTTAAATGTTGTATTTTAAATGTGCGTTTTATTAAGAAAAGCTAAACGTTATTAAATGTACTATTATATACCACAACTAGTGAAGCTTTTAAGACAACATATGTTACATTTAACACGGACAATTAATAAACAATACCTCAGATTATACCATGGCTGTCACGGGTACATGATGTAGTACACACATCAACGTGAGTTTACGGTTTAAGTACATGTTTGATACGCGTGTACAATAATCGAGGCATTGTTCGCTGTAGCTTCGTCATTAAATTAGCGCCAAGGGTGCGCAAGTGTGGTACACACCATTTGAGAATTTCACACAACGTACATTGTGATTGTGAAATGAATCTGGACTACATAGAATGTTATTGCACGCCACGGGTGCGGTGAATGAGACAAGAACATTCGCATGGCCACTTTGTGGGTTGAGAACAAACTGGATCCCGCCTCGTTTTCATTTATTATGGTGAGTACGGCTCGCATAGTGCGTGGAGGATATGTCTCTATACATTGCACTGGCATAAGCAAGGGAGGGGCTGCTGCAAAACTCCCCGATAGAATTAATGCAAAGAGCCAAAAGAACACTTCCTGTTGATGCAAAAATTGCAGCAGCAACTGTCTGACACATCTGGACTGGAGAGGGGGGGAGGCCTGGCCGTGGCTGTTTGCGAACTTGAAGGGGAATGGACAACGTTTAATGTCAATCTGCAGCACGGTGAGTCTCCTTGTTTTAAATGTGGCTTGGACTGGTGACGGCGTGCCGCAGTTCGCCATGCCAACGTGTGTTCTGAATCACTTCGCTCATGGTGGAATGTGGTGCCAGCGATTGCATGCTAGCGCAGGCTAGCGCTAGCCACCACCGTTGGCGAACATGGGTTGATCGCTAACTCGGCTAGTGAGCTAGCTAGCCGTATAGCCACCTTACATGACAGCCGACATAAGGCATCTGTGGAGCCACGTTTGTGAAAATGTATTCAAGATTGTCAATCTTTTGTGCGTTATGTACAATGTGAACCGAGTGTCAAGCTGTTTCACGCGGGGTGTACATCGTGGTGTGTGTATGTGTGAAGATCCGGTGTTTTTGCCTAAATGCTGGCTAAATGTTAAGCTAGCTAATGGAGTTAGCAAATGTTAGAATGCTTTTGGTCGCGGTATGGCACGGCCCTGTGAAGCGATGCACATATAACATGGTAAAAAGAATTCGGAACACCAGTGGTTGAGACGACCGACATTAGTCTTTTAGATTCGACTTTGAGTTGGCGTTTGCTGCACTAATGTCTTCAATTTTTTTGCGACCCACACGTTGGATTGTAATAAATGACAATAAAAGTTTGACACAGCACATATGTGCTGCATTTTGTTTCTACAGTCGGTTTCTCACGATGCAAGCAAAAAATGTGAGCATTGAAATGTATCACTTTGTAATTCAAAACTGTCAGTAGACCGATTGGGTAACCAGCCCATCATATTTTACATTGCAGTTAGTTTATGCTGCACTCTTTAACCAGCAAAACCCACTAAGCTGCAAGTAATTATGTATTTTCATGTTCCTGTACTTGTTATTGCAATGTTATGGCAGGAAAGACTAAAATCCAGCGAAGTCGAGTTATTCACTGCAGCTGAGTTCACCCAGAACACCAGACCATTAACTTTTAACTACTATTTCAGCAAGGATTTCCCATTAAATTATTTTGGGACTTTTTAGGCCACATAATTTTCCTTAGCCTATTTGCATGTGAAGCCTGGCACATATCGTAATTCTAATTAATGGTAACTGAATTATTAGCAGTGTGAACAAGAATTCCCCAAAATGGCAGTCTGTCAAAATATAAAGTCTGGCTATATTGGCCACTTAAATCTGAGTACGGTGCAACAAGAATTCCGAAAATCGGATCGTAGGTTCTGGAAAAATATCAGGTTTTGTGTTGCGGGGAAAACATTGCTTCGTGTCGGAACACGTGTGTGATATGTTTGATGCAATTGTAATAATCTGGTCAAAAATGCCTTCATGTTAAACATTTGACCTAATTATTTGTCAACATATTTTTAATTTAACTTGAAACATTCATGTAATTGGCCATGTTTAATTCAATTCTGAACTTGTTTCTTCGGAAGATGTTCATTTAAAGCAGGCATGTCAAACCCACTTTCGTCGCAGGCCACATTTTAGTTGCCGTTTCCCTTGGGGTTGCCGTTATGACTGAAACCATATAAGGAAGTCAAGTACAACGGTTTCCTCCACTTTTGTTTAAGTTACTGTCATGGTAACAAGAAATTGCTTACAATATCGTTCTTATTTATTACAGATGAGAATTTTGAACGTTGTTACAGATTTTAGCTAACACCATGGAAGTTGACATGTTTGATTTACTTTCGCGAGCCACATAAGATGAGGTGGCGGGTCGGATCTGGCCCCCGGGCCTTGACTTTGACACAGGTGATTTAACGGAACTAAGTTACAAAGTGACAAAATATGCTTGGCAGTTGTCTTTTAAAAGCAGTATTTTTTTTCATATTTTAGCCTGAGTTATTAACCCCTAATGTAATTTTAAAAATATATAGAGCATTTGAAAATGTTAGCTTTGCTTCACATGGTAACGGGATTTTTTAAAAATGGAATTATGCAATTTACTTGTAACACTGTTTGTCAGAAACTTCTCAATGGATTTGGCTAAAACTTGGTGTGCACCTTCTGATGAATCTTGTGCATGCACCTATGAAGTTTGGTGCGACACTTAACTCATTCAATGGCAGTCGTTTTTCTCAAATTGGGAGAGCCAGCCATTTTTGATCATTTTAACAAATTTTCAAAGGCCTTCAGAAAATTCTGTTACCTAGCTATATAAGCACGGAACCTACCAAAAGAAAGCTTTACCCCTCTTCTTTCCTCAAGAAAAAAGTACATTTCTACCTTTTTACCATTTTTTGTTCACAGCAGTCGAACATGGGTAAGTTTCTTGAAAATACTCGTTTCCAAGAAAAAAATCGGAGAAAAAGCGCTTATTGTGAATGGATGTATTTCAACCGAACTTTCACTTTGATTCTATTTTATTTATTTATTTTTTGCATTTGTAATACCTCAAATATCTAAACAATGCTTTCCTACTAAAGAAGATAACAACACAAAAAAAGGTCACTTTGATTGCAAAATATCAGTTTATTGCAAGATAAACGCTGCGCTGACGCATGACCTATGCATGCAACTTTGTGTGTGTGTTTGCGTGCCTGTGTGCTCATGTTCGTCAAGGTTGACGAAGGGACTTTGTCATTTTTAAATTTTTTTTTTTGAAAAAGCTCCGTTGTAGAATTAGCCGCCGGTATTTATCCAAGTTATCACTACCAAACTGCTTCCGAATACCACCTCACGCCGTAGGATTAATCGCCTTACCACACTGCAGATCCACTCACATGGAGTGTGGAGCAAGATCTGATCAAGGTCACTCCTGCCATGTAGTGGTGATTTATCATCCTGAAATCATTCTCACAACCTCAATACTGACTCAGGAGGTTATTAATACTTTTTAACCTGACACACCCAAAACGTATTTTTACGTTTTGGCATTGAATGAGTTAATTTTCCTTGATGCTATAGATACCTGAAGTTCTAGGCCCCCCAGTCATTTTGTGCATGTTAATTTCTGTGTACATCGGAAATTAGCAAGTTCGTTTTTTAGCACATTCAGTGAGCGATTGAAACATAATTTCGGCATTGTGTTGATGTGATGGTGCAACAGTATGTGATAGTTTGGCGCGAGGGAAGCTTGAAATGAGATCGTTTGGACAATAAATCGTTATGGAGATATGAACGTTCAAGATATTAACATCGAAATATAATTGATATCAGTCACGTGACCTGGCCACACTTGTGTTGCATATAAAGCTCAGTCCAACCAACTGCATTCCTCCTTTTAAGTTTGGTGTTGATGGACAGCTAAAGCAGGCCTACGACGATCATTTTGCACAGGGAGGATAGCGAGAAATCCACTTCTGTTTTAGCGACAGATGAGAGACAGCCATGTGCTGTTGGTACGCATATATTGTTTCAGAATATTACATGGTCACATTCATAATTTCACAATTACCAGTGGATAAAATAGCAGAGATTGTTATAAAACTATATGAGCAGCATTCAATTGAATGGGAGTGAGCCTCGCCTACCACTATGTCCGCACTTTCCTCATGATTATCGCCACAACCTATTTTTGTTTCAATGTGCATCTTCTTTTTGTGGATTGAAAAAAAAAGTCATACAATGAAACATATTGTATGGAGAGCCTCAAAATAGGATCCAGGCTGGATAATTCATATTGCTGGGAGTCCACACATTACATTTCCACGTAATGCATCTATGTACATATACACACCCATCATCATGTGCAGGGGTGAGTCGTTTACAGTTTTGTTTTTTTCCCTCACCAAACAATGTATCCATCAATTTTCTGTACTGATTATCGTCACTTGGGTCATGCGTGGACATTTGTACAAAACAGCACACACGTCTGCATCTGAACAAAGGCACGGACGCAAACACAACAAACACTTGTTGTATGTTGTTGCATACATTTATTAAAGTACATTTACAGTATGACATGATTGAAAGACATTTTAATTTATTGCTCGGCACGGTGGTCGCCTGGTTAGCACGTCCACCTCACAGGACAGAGGGCATGGGTTAGAATCCAGCCCAGTGCGTTTTAACCGGGTATTTTGGTTTTCGCCCACATTCGAAAAACATGCATGGTAGGTTGATTGAACGCTCCAAATCGTCCCTTGGTGTGATTGCGAACACAAAGGAGTGTTCATCTGTGCGTGCTCTGTATGAAGACAGTTGGGAAAGGCTGCAGCATGGTCGCAACCCCTGTGTGGATAAGCGGGTCAGATGATGCATGGATGGATGCTGACTTTGTTAATGTTGTTGGCTGTCAGTAAGTTGTTCGACACAGTGATGAAAGTCCTCCGGATTTTCCCGGAGTTCCGGATTTTCAAAAATTCCTCCGGAAAATTGAGGAAAAATTGCCTAAAATTAATCCGGATATTAGCTGACAACATTGAACGAACACGCGTTTGAGTTCATTGTTTTGCTTTCACAAGCGTAGTAGCCATGTTGAGGCATGAACACTGGTAACAGTAACACCCCTCCCCTTGCATTCTTCTGGCCTCCCCATATCTCGGAGATTTCGAAATTTCGGCGAGAACGGAAGTCACGAAGGGTGCACGTGTGCACACCAAAGGCAGATTAATTATTGAATGTCGAGTATTTGAATAGCGTTTTGTGTAAACTAATTCATGCGTGATCGGCCAGGTACGGCCCCAGCGCAATGTTCAAACAGGTAGACAGGCAAGCTGACATACGTGAAATAGACGCCAGTGTTAGAAACACGTTCATGTGGTCATGGCTTGAGGAAAAGGACTTGAACAGAGATTTTTTTTTGTCCGACTACATTAGGCAAACCTGGTAAGTCAGTTAAAATCATATATATATATATATATATATATATATATATACACACACACACACACACTGTATATGATTCAGTTAAAATCATATATATATATTGTATATGATTTTAACTGACTTACCATTGTCAGGAATTTTCAGAAAAGTCCTCTATCATCTCTGATAGGCTGATATGTTCCTTTTGCTCTCGAATGGAAAAACATTTCAGTTTTTTCCCTGTCAGTCTACATCACGTATTGAAAGAAATATATTTCTAA